CGCCGTTATGGCGGAACTGGAGGGGGAAGGGGAGACCAGGGTCAGGCAATCCCAGGGGCCCCCTCCGCGCAGGACGGGACTGCCCCGGGCGCGGCAGGGACACTCACGTAGTCGTCAGTGGCATCTTTGACAGCCGTGATGGTTAAGACGAGCACCAAAGGCACGATGGTGGTGAACCAGGAGAGCGAGGAGATCTGGGGGATCAGCTGAGAGAGGGGTGGGGTTACACTCGGAGGGCCCCCGTCATCACTGTCCTGGGGACCTCCAAGGGCTCCTGCGGAGGGGGGGATGTTGCACACCCCCACGACAGCACTGGGCACGGATCCACGTGGGCCGTGATGGTTAAGACGAGCACCAAAGGCACGATGGTGGTGAACCAGGAGAGCGAGGAGATCTGGGGGATCAGCTGAGAGAGGGGTGGGGTTACACTCGGAGGGCCCCCGTCATCACTGTCCTGGGGACCTCCAAGGGCTCCTGCGGAGGGGGGGATGTTGCACACCCCCACGACAGCACTGGGCACGGATCCACGTGGGGGCCCATCTCCTCCCCTCCCGGTGGGGACCCCCCCACGACAGCACTGGGCACGGATCCACGTGCGGCCCATCTCCTCCCCTCGCTGTGGGACCCCCCATGACCAGCCACCGGGGGACCCAGGGAAGGAGGGGCCGTGCCCCACAGCCCCCTGCCCCCACACCTGCAGGATGAGGAGAAAGAGAAAATAGGTGTTGGCCACTTCCTGGAACTGCTCGAAGAGGTTGACGGGCAGGAAGGTGACGATATTGTACTTGGAGGTCTTGATACAGTTACTCTGGAAAGAGACAGGGCAGGGTTAGGGGAGACCCTCAGTGACCCCCAGCCCCCTTCAGCTCCCCCAGGTTCCCCCGGCCCCAGGGCTCAGAGAGGAAGGGGCTGTTGGAAGGGGCTGCCCAGACTGCTGGGTTCTGTGCCCAGCGCCGACACGGGCAGGAAGGTGACGATATTGTACTTGGAGGTCTTGATACAGTTACTCTGGAAAGAGACAGGGCAGGGTTAGGGGAGACCCTCAGTGACCCCCAGCCCCCTTCAGCTCCCCCAGGTTCCCCCGGCCCCAGGGCTCAGAGAGGAAGGGGCTGTTGGAAGGGGCTGCCCAGACTGCTGGGTTCTGTGCCCAGCGCCGACCCTCAGCGTGACCCAGGGCACATCCGGTCCCCCCTCGCCTCTCTTTGCCCCTCTCCCTGGGGCACCTCTGGCCTGCCCCTGCCCCCAATGG